CAGTGAGAAGGAACAACAGCGATAGGAAGAAAGTACGATAAAATAAAATAGAGGATAAAGAGGGAAAATCTTTCAGGAGTTTAGTGCGTGCTTTCAGACACGGCAGTAGCTTTTCATCTGCGGAGAAGCTATGTTTATGCTGTTATTTCTGCGCTGCAAAATACAGGCGCGGCGAAACAATGAGATTGGTAATCGTATCGGACGATTACCAGGCGGGACGAATGTTTATTTTGCGTTGTGTAAAAAATAATTTTACGTAACGCAAAAAGCGATAGGAGAGAACGGCCGGTCACAATAGCTATCTGAAAATGGGATCGGGAATTCCGTACAAATGCCGCGCGAGCGCATACACGGCGGATAATTTGGCGTATTCGACAGAATACGATATCTCGATTTTAATATCGGTCCCGTATGTGTCAGAGTTATGTCAATCCAAATAATATTATGTTTATCCTCGCGCTCTCGGACAATGATGTGCATCGAAAGAGATTCGCGTAAACAAATTATACAACCCAATCGCGAGCGCACGCGCGGTAGAGTGAGAGAGAGAGAGAGAGAGAGAGAGAGAGAGAGAGAGAGAGAGAGAGAGACAGAGAGGGAGAATCACTGTTGCAGCACGTGCAACATCTTCAGCCGGAGCAAATATGACGTAATGAAACGACGAACAACAATACAGCGACAAAAATCTACACAGCACACGGAAGCGTCGCCGTCCCGGCGTAAAGCCGAGAGAGAGCATAAGAGCGGAACGCTCGGGCACGCTCTCGAGCACTATCGATCATCGAGCCGGCTGTTCCCGAGCACGTACGGAACGCGCCCGAAAGTGTTTTAGAAAACGTTCCTCGCCTCATCCGAATGCGACGTTAAAACGAGGGATCGACCTTATGCACGTCGCAGCAGCCGCTGACTCGTTCTCTTCCTCTCCCACCCTTTCACGACGACGACGACGACGACGACGACGACGACGCGAGTGAACTCGCGTTTAAAATTCGGACGGACGCATGGTCGCGAGATGGAAATCTGTTTGTCAGTGGGATGAACTGCTGGAAACACTATAACTCGCAGCATGACGGCCTGACGTGATCCGTCTGTATGATGAGTTGCGAGAACCGTTAGCGGTGATAAACGTATATAGCCGCGCGCAGCTTGTCGTAACTTTTTGACTTATGACAAAGTGAAACAGTGGCAGCGGCGGCGGCGGCGCGGCGTTCTGCTGTTCAGCACCGTTTCAACGAATTTCGATACGTAACGAAATTAATCATCATGCTCGGCTCCCACCTGCCCCGTCCTCTCTCGGTAAATAAGCCGGCCGTATTTCCCGCAAGCACGGTTCAACGGGTGAGATGTGCGCGCGCGCGCCCGTGCGGATGATATTAATATGTGCGGCACACACGCTTTGATGCACGTTTACGCGCGCATTATAGCTATTGGGGAAATCGGCGAGGACCAATCAACGAGTCCGATCGAAGTAATTAGTAGCGGAGACTCTGAATCACTATTAGACCCGGAGCGCTCTGGTAATTTGTTGTCCTAGTCGTTGCAACGGTAACGTGCAATTTGCGACACGCGACAAATTGCGCTAACAGCCTGTCCCGGCCAGAAAATACAGCGAGGCGCGCGCGCGACGACGTCGTCGTCATCGTCGTCGTCGTCGTCGTCGTATCGCGAGGATTCCGGCGCGCGAGGCGTACGCGCGAGGAAGAAGCCACCGGAAAAAATCACTTTAGGCCCCGCGCTCTAATGAGCGCGATGCACACACAGCCGGGCAAATGAGTTTAATGCGGCCGAGATTCGTCCGCGAAGCGGCCCCCCCGGCTCGGGATAAAACCGAGATTTAGAGCCCCGGCTCGGCTCTCTGCTCGAGAGTCCTCTCGTCGCGCGGACGCGGCGCTGCGCTGCGCCAAACAATAGGTCGCGCGCATTTTTTTCTTCTTCTTCATCTTGTGCCTTTTTAATAACCGCACCGTACCGCTCTTCGCACGTATAATTGGGGTGCCGTTGTAAACGACGCGCGCGTTGCATCCGACGTCTACCGTGCGCGCCGCCATGTCGAGCTTGGACAACGCGGCAACGCGCCCCTCTCGACGAAGCGATCGAGGAGGATTCGCGCGCGGCCGTGCGCTCCACCGCGTAGCGCTTTCCTCCCTCTCTCTCTCTTTCTCTCTCTCTCTCTCTCTCTCTCTCTCTCTCTCTCTCTCTCTCTCTCTCTCTCTCTCTCTCTTTCTCTCTCTCTGTCTGTCTGTCTGTCTCACTCATTCAACTCTCCCGCGGACTCGCGCACGGACATTAAATCTCGATTGGAAACACCAAACGGAAACGAGATTTCCCTCGACTCTTTGGAGAGAGCAGCCGCGCTTCGCCGCAGCCGTTTATCTTTCGCTCCGGTCGACACGCCCGGCTAAAACGGAACATCTCGTGCGCCGAATAGCGCCGTCCGCGCGCGTTCCTTTGTAAGCAACGACGATGTGCGCCTATATATTCGAACAGAGGAATCAACTGAATACCAACTAAGAGAAGCCAATCGTCCGCTCGACCGTTCTCGCATGCGAAGCTCTAGCGTGGGCTTTCCAGCGGGAGTCATCCCCGTTCCACGGGTCTTGCCCGTTATTCGCCTCCGTTAGGTGACCAGTGTGCCGTGACCGAAGCAGAAAGCTTGTCTTTGACGCGAGCTAAGCATGGATGCAAATACCGCGTTCAAATTCGAAGCGGAAGGAGCGCGACGGAGTCGAGGAAGAGGAGAAGGAGGTATAATAATTCATTGTAGTTTGTCTCGTTACCATTTTCGACCGACGTAAAGACGTTTTACCGACACACACACACACACACACACACACACACATTTTTTGCGGAAAACCGCACGCGATACCACATCGACGTTTAAACCGGACCCAACCGCGTATAACGTATAACCCAAATAACGTATATGGTTCAGGTAAATTAGTTTAATTTCCTTACGGTTAACGAACGCCTCTCTTTCGGCACGAGTTTCCACGGCGTCGTTTGTCTGAGCAAATATTTTGGAGGAGATCCTGCGCGCCCCGAATGAGATCGGCAAGATTAATCTTCAGCATTCTCTCTGAAAGTCTAGTCGAAATTGTGTAGCGCGGAGGATCTCTGGGTGGCGAGTCGGCGAACGTTATCGCGACGATCTAGTGAATATTTCGAAAGGACATCGACCATGCGCGCTTCCGGTATCATCAACACGCTCTCGCGCTATGGAAGGTCCCAACATCTCTCATTCCGAATCAACACGCCGCTCCCGCACGCGGGTTATTAACTTTTCATCGCGTTCTCGCTACGTTGGAACTCCATCAGCGGCAAGACTTCCGCTCCGTTATGATAATCATCCGATCAATCTCGTCACGCGCGGCAAGCGTCGCAGTCGCGTCGGTGTTAAACCGGCCGGAGCGGCGGCATTGACATCGGCCGGCTGGAGCGCACCGAGTGTATCGCGAGAGACGCGAGGGATTCCTCTCGTTTGGATTAAGAGAACGTCAGAATGTCCTCTGTCCCCCCCCCCCGTCGCCGTTCCTGCCCCTTTCCATTCCGTAGCGCGGGACAATGGAGTCGTGTGTCAAAGAGCGAAGTTTGATCCGACACAGTTCCGCGCGCTCGTCAAACTTGAGAGTCGCATTCTGGAATTGCCGAGCTACGCAGGGAGAAGGGAGAAAGAGAGAAATAGAGATAGAAAAGAAAAGAGAGAGAAAGAGAGAGGAGTGAGAGAGGAGCGGTCCTCGTTACGCGGCACCGCTCCGGCGTCGTCTCCGTGGCAGTCATCGCGTGTGTCTGGAGGATTCTTCTCTTCTCTTTCTCTCGCGAGCCGTTCCATCTCGCGTAACGACAGTCTGACACGTATCACTTTCCATCGGGGGGTCGAAACGGGCAAACGAAGGCGACGCTCGACGAGCGTATATCGCGCGCGCGCGCGCGAGCGCGACTATATTTGCGGATGACCGGCGGGTGGCGGTGAAGTAAGTGGCGGTAAACGAGCCGCAGTGTCGCCGATATATAAACACAGCGGGGCCATTGACGGGCCGCTTGACTCCGAAAGCAGCGTCCGAAACTATCGTCAAAGGCGGTAGGGTGCCTTTGATCCGTCGGTGTTAAAATATTCCTAAGCGCGAGTCCCCGTGGCACGACGACGTGAGAGAATTCCGCCGCACGATCATCCCCCGTCCGTCGCGAAACGGCGTGTCGTTTGCACGCCGTGATCAACGTGATAGACGAGAAAATTACTCGCACTCGGAACTTTGAAATACTACGACCACTCGCGGAGCTCGCGTTTCATCGCGAGTAGATGAAGCGTTTCATCTCGAGGGATCACAACGCATTTTTCAGTGGGACGGCGGAGTAGATACTCGCGGCGTAGTAGATGCGCGCTATAAAAGAAAAATAATTCGGTTCACTCTCTCTCTCTCTCTCTCTCTCTCTCTCTCATAGCCTTAGTGAAAGAAGTGGCCGGGCAAAATATCCCTTTGATAGTCGTGTTCGAATAACGACTCGAGATCCTGCCCGCCCCGGTTGAAATATCGAGGCTTATCCCTCGCTGGCTCCCTCGAAGGATCCAACGCGGATGATTAATGTAACTCAAAGGTAATGATTCAGCGGATATTTCCTTCGTCTAATTATCGAGTGTATAACGTTGAGCTCAAACTGATCCCGCGGGATTTCACCGCCTTAAGTAGGGAAGACGGCTTCAACTCACGCGATTAATAGCCCCTGCGAAACTGCCGGATAACCCTTTTCGACGCGATGTATCGCGCTCGTCGAGTGACCAAAGGCGGTCGGCGGAGAAGTAGAATCGACGACTACTACTCCGCGGTCTCGACCGCGGTAACTCCGAACGGAGCAAGAGACGCAAAAGAAAGACGGAAGAAGGAAATCAAAGCAACTCCGCGCTCCGCGCGCTGGAAGCTCTCTCTCTCTCTCTCTCTCTCTCGCGCGCGCGCGCGCGCGCGCAAACATACAATACAAACGACAAATTTTCAACAGCCACTTACTGTCCTTCACGCAGAACGCGCCGATAATCCAGAGAGGAAAGAGCGGCACCACCACGAGCACGTTCAAGTGTCTCGCGTTCGCGTTGCACCGTAGACTCCTCCCGTCGTGCGGCCTAAAGTAAATCATGATCGTTCCACGTGAGACCAACGCGGCACGATCATAGCAACCGAGATCACCAGAGAACGTCGTCGGCGTTCCACATCCACCCGCACTGTCTCAACGCACTGATCTGTTTTCGCACTTTCAAGGATTCTCTCTTTCTCTCCCCCCCTCTCTCTCTCTCTCTCTCTCTCTCTCTCTTTCTATCTTTACTGATCGGAGTCCGGGCGACGTGTCGTCTGCCGATTATTACCGCGGACGTAACTGCCGCGTGTATTCTCTCCGTGTCACGGCGGTTCCTCGGCGGCGGCAGGTGAAAGAGAGAGAGAGACCGTTCGCTCGTTCCTCGGACGGTTCGCGCGCGAGCACTGAGATCGGAATCCGCGACGGGTCGCGCGCAACGCGCGTCAAGCACGGAGCGCCGGAGAAGGCTGCGCTGGACCGCACAGCAGCACTAGCTCTCTCTCTCTCTCTCTCTCTCTCTCTTTTTCTTTCTCTCCCTCCCCCTTCTTTCTCTTTTTTTCTCTTTCCTGACTTTCGACCGGGCGAACGAGAGATCTCGATCGAGACGATCGAGACGTAGCACGCTATTTAAATCCCTTCGCACGAGATCACATCGTCGACTTGTCCGCGGTGTATCCCATCGCTCTGTTCGCGCGCGCTCTCTATCTCCGGAATCGCGCTGCCTTTAATCTCGCACTTCTTCACCGGTTCCCCTCCGCTGTCGCGACTCGCGACACCACGTCCGTCACATCATTTTCTGTCAGCTGCTTCCCGAGAGCCGTGTTTTCCCCTCGCACTTCCTTCGCGCCCGCGCGCTATCCGAGTTCTTCTCTCACCGTGTACTACCCGCGTTCTCTTTCCCCTTTTCCGGCGGGGATTCGCCGAATATCTTTCTCACTTTTCGTACACACGAATGTTTCTTCTCACCCCCTTTCTTTTTTTTATTTTTCTCCCGGTGGCCCCCGACGTTCACTCGCGTCCTTCGAGGATGACACGTTCGATCGGCACGTTCCAGCGCTTCAAGCACGACGACGTGATGCGCGCCACTCGGCGTCAGCGTGATTTCGCACTCCCTCCACGACTGTATCGCCCACCGGGCCGAACCGTGTGCGGCTCACACTGATCACCTGCCGCGGCCTCCGTTGGTGCCGCCACCGGCCCGTCGTTGTATATCCACCGCCTCCACTGCTGCCACTGCTATTGCTGCTGCTACTGCCGCCACCGCCGCCGCCGCCGCGAACCAGTCGATGTCGACGTCGTGGGTCGTCGCCGCCACCGCCGCCACCGTCGTCGTCGTCGTCGTCGTCGTCGTCGTCGTCGTCGTCGTCGTCGTCGTCGTCGTCGTCGTCGTCATCGTCGTCACCACCACCACCCACCAGCAATGCCGCCGCCGCCGCCGCCGCCACCACCGACACCGTCGATCGAAAAGAGACCTCCGCGTTGTACGCGCCCGCGCACACGCTTTGCCTCGCATGCGTATTGAACGCGGCCGACGACTCTCTTTCTACTACCACTCGCCGTATCCGCACGCGCCGCTTCTTCCTTCTCCACGTCGTTGTCGATCGTGGTCATCGTTTCCCTCTCGACCGACTCCTGCGAGATTTGCACTCGATTTCCCTCTTTTTTCTTCTTGCCCCCTCGCGATTCCTTCCCTCTTACACGGTTAATTTTCTTCGATCGCGTTCAATCGTATGATTTCGACCGTGGCTCTCGAGCTTCCGCCCCCCCCCTCCCCCCCGCCCGTACTTCCAACGTTATTTGCAGATTCCCTCATTCGTGCGTGGCTGGCTGGCTGATTTCTCGTTTTCCCTCACACACCGCAGCGTCTCGTCCGACGAGTCGGAATCGAAGAGCAAGCGACACGCGCGCGAAAGGAAGAGGCTCTCTCTCCGGTTGATTCCGAATGCGAATAAATTCGCAGGCTGTTTCGTCAGAGAACGCACACGCACTCGACCATGCTTCATTATGAGGAAAATTGCACGCGACTCCTTTGCCACCGGACTCGATTTTCGCTACTGCTCCTTACGCACCGCCGTTTGACAGCTTGCGAGAGAGCGTGCAACCCTTTCTTTGTCTCGCCGACTTTTACGATCCTAAAGTCGCGTTCAACGGAGAATGCAGTCCCCCTGGCGGCCTCCGCACTCCGCGATTGGATGTCCAGACAGCGACAACGAAGGAAGGGAGAAACTGTCGAGGTTGCTTTACTTTTTGGTTTAATTGTAATAAACGTGACGTGTCGGGTCGCGCGGATAAACACGTATAATGATGTCTCATTTGAGTGACGCAACAAGTGACTTCGGCCATCCACAGCAAATTTTTATATCGGCTTGCATGTATAATATAAGTTTGCTTATATATCCGACCGTTTTTTCCCCTCCTCTCTTTATCGCACATAGTAATCTTTGCCTCCGTTTTCCCACCTCGCATCCTCGTCCTTTCACGTTTCGCCCTCTAACGGCGCTCGATACGGAAGTCGGTCTGATAGAGAAAGTTTTCTAAAGAAAGGAACGTGTGTCAGGGGCCTTTGAATGGAGATGAAAGGGACCGGAATTTCCGTTAATTTTATCTCTCTCTCTCTCTCTCTCTCTCTCTCTCTCTCTCATCGGTAGTTGCAGCTTATCGTCTCTCTTCGTTCACCGTGCACGCTGATCCTTTCTGTTTCTTTTCAAATGCACCGTTAAATTGCCGATGCAATTTCGATTCGCGAACAAACATACGCTCACGGGTAAGTACATGGGTGCCAGGAATGTCGCGCGTAAGCAAAATGCTATCGGTCTTGCCGCAAGCGCTTAAAATTTTACAGGCGTAAAGGGCGTATAGTGAGCACATGCGCGCGAATGTACGCCCCCGTACGTGAAATAATTTCCAGTTTACTACACCGTCACACGTCCCGAAAGGATTCGTACGAATTTATAAAATGTTTAGGGATTTGAAATAAGCGCTGCTAGAGATTTATATGCACCTTAATTAAATATACGGATACGTAGGTGTAAAAGATGGCGGAGGGAATATTTTTTTTTTTCGAGGGGTAGCAAGAAATGTAGTAAAAAGAGAGTATTTAAAAGCCTCCCGCCGCATTCGAGAGGGAGTCGGATATAATTGTTTTTTCCCTTTCTATCCCGGCGCACTATGCCTTTTTTCTCCTTTGCCATTCTTTATGCGTTCTCCTTTTTACTCGTTAATCCTTGCTCTCTCTCTCTCTCTCTCTCTCTCTCTCTCTCTCTCTCTCTCTGCCTCCCTCCCTCTCTCACTCTCTTCTACCCTTTTAAGATGATTCCCTTGTAACGTCGCCCGGAATTCCTGCGTGCAGCAAGAAATTCTCGAAAAAAAGAGATACCGCGGCTGTATAAAGAAGACTAGAATTTGTTACCGTCGAGGAATGTGCATAGTTCCGTCATATCAGCGACATTGTCTGCGAGCTTAAAAATCGTAATAATCGTCGACGAGCTAAAGAAGTCGCACGCGACAGCGATCGCTTCGAGCGCAGAGACGTGTCACGACGCAAACGATAAAATGATATGGAACGATGAATGAGAGGCAGGGAGAGCAAAAGACAGAGTGGGAAAAAAGAAAAAGAGAGAGTGCAAACATCGTAGGAGAAACAGCGACCAGATATACGCTCCGTCGTAAATGCGACGTTTACACGCATCTGGGTCTGGGTAATCGCTCAAGCGAGCGCGCGTACACACGCGACCCTAATGTTTATTTTCGTGCATGAAATCGGTTTAAGAAATCGGATTTTCACGAGAACAACCGCACAAATACGGCTTAAATTACGTAGCTTGTATTTCGGCGGTATAATTAGTACGCGCGGAAAAATACATGTGGATCGATATCGAGAATCGGTCGAAGCTATAATCGTCACGCTACTCGGTGACTTCCTGGCGGGAACGGCGGGGAGGGGGACAGGCTTCCTGCGCAATGCTAAAAGTTCCTCTAAGAAATGACGCGCCATCGAATTCTTGGCAGCGGCGCTATATCCCCACCGGAAGCGGACGATGAGGACCGTCGAGGTTGAGGAGCGAAATTGGACTTCCTACGCGCCAGAGGGTACGCCGAACGAGCGCCGCAATTTGTCACGGATGCGTTTCACATTCATTTACAGATATGCCGCGCCGCATGCTGGTATCGCGAACATTGGAAATTCGAACGTCTGAAGTTTCCTTTTATTCCACACACACGCTCGAAGGCCCGCCGCGCCGCGGTGTTATTCGTCTGATTTATTCAACGCATATAATAACCACGGACGGCGGCGGCTTCCGTCGGTAACGGCCGATCACGTCGTCACTGCAGTCGGATCGGCAGAAGTGTGCGCGATTTCGCCGCGATTTTACGATCGCCCGTGGTTCGCCCGCGAACTTCCCAGTTTTAATAGAGTACAAATTATTGACGCGGGAAATCGTGTTAAACCGCAAAGCAGGATTCTTAGCGGCAAACATGGCGCGGATATTTCCAACGCAGTTCCCGTCCGTTTGCGAACAGTCGTGCACACTACAGTTATTTGAATTCCGGAGATGGGTACGAATATTTGGTATGCGGGCAAAACGTCTTAGATTCAATTTTTCGCAAATAGGTTCCTCGTGGCGGAGTATAGAGAGAAAGAGAGAGAGAGAGAGAGAGAGAGAGAGAAATATAGAGATAGAAAGAAGAATCCTTCTATATAATATGGCATGAAAATTTGATGCGAAAGAAATTGGATTTAAGCTGTAGTGCTGTGCCAACAAACGTATCTGTATGTACGATATATTGCTCGAGGGAGAGAGCGCAGTATGCCTCGCTACTGCGACGCTAAACGATATTAACAAGCTGCACGACTCGACCCAATTTTTTAAGTCTCAACGATTTGTGAGTTACAGTCAAGTCGTGCGAACCGATACCTGTGCGCGGAGGTGTATACACGTGTACATATGAAGAGAGAGGAGAGAGAGAGAGTGCGCACAAGAGGACCGGAGAAATGAAGGTGCGACCATTAATACTATAAACCGTAGGAGGGAGGGAGGGAGGGAGGGGGGAGAGAGAGAGAGAACAGGAGAAAATTTTAGCAATTTTTTTTTCTCTCAAACTACAAAACAACTCTCGATATGTGCTCTACGGATTCGCTAATGGATTAGCGAAGCCTCGCGCGTCCCAAGCGCTCTACGCTTCAATTTGCGAAACTCTACACGTTTAATGGACTCGCGCCATATCGAACTATTAAATTCCGTCACACGTATGCGGAAACGATATACGGAGAGATTTTGTTTACTGCGGATTAACGCCGCTGAGAGTTAGCGGGTAGATTAGCAGCAACCGGACTTTATTCGCGCTCGCGGAGCATTTAATACGCGCAAGCGTATCGCTCGCGCGCGCGCGCGCGCGCGCACTACTATCATGTCGTGTCGTCCGCACTTATGTCGTCGACGCACTCATCCGATGACATTATTATCGAAAAGCGTTTTACCACGGGAAGCACGTTCACTCGCTTGCTCCCTCACTCGCTCGCTTTTCGCGGATAAATGTTACGTGTGGCAGCGCTACGCTACCTGTGAGACCAAGGGAAAGCGCAGCGAGAGAGCTCTCCACTCCGCCGTTAAGCGATAATAATAGGCGTTGCACATGCATCCGCTGAGGAAGAGAGAGAGAGAGAGAGAGAGAGAGAGAGAGAGAGAGATAGATACGGCACTCGAGATACATACGCCAGCGAGAGATGCCCAAGAGGAAACAATGCGTCCCGCGGTGCACGTCAATGAGAGAGAGAGAGAGAGAGAGACCCGCGGAATCTCGTTAGCGCTCTAAATCCTCCCTTTTTAAGGCCGCGATGCATTTCCAGGGTTCAAGACGCACGGGTGATGCATTTGCGCACGACTCGCGCCGGCTGGCCGTAATATCACTCGTAATCTCTCTTCACTATTAAAATACACTGCCGCCGAGTATGCCGGTCGCGTTCGAAAGTGTGCCCCTCGGTATGTAAGGAGTCGGCTCGCGAGACGCGTCATCTCCCGCGATTCTCCCGCGCGGAGAAGCGGCGAGGCCAATTTTGTGTTATTATATCTCGTCATGCAGATTGCCGAGAGCCACGTGCGTGCTCTCGTCGTTCATTCATGTCGCGATTCCACTCGACAGTGATCGTTCGGCGCACGCGCGTGTGTCTAGACGATCGCTTCGCACGCTTCGGGGCTGACTCGCAGACCGGATTGAAATTTAAGCGCGCGCGCGAGACGTGTGACGGCAAGAACAGC